CCTCTTGTTCCTCCCACGCGGTTCTGGCGAGCTAAGAAAATGCTTATCTCCCTGAGCCTGGCCTTCATAATTCCATTCTGTCACAACGAGTGTGGTGTAGTGGTAAAAATGTGAAACTAGGAGGGAGACCCAGGTTCTAGTTCCCCCTCAGCCATGGAAGCTCCCAGAGTGATTTTAGGCTAGTTTCTCTGAGCCTATGAGCCAGTGTGGTCTAGTGGTGAAGGTGTTGGACTAGGAGTGGGGAGACCCAGGTTATAGTTTCATTCAGCTGTGGAATTCCCTGAGTGATTTTGGGCCAGTCACTTTCTCTCTCATCTCAACCTACTTTACAGGATTGCTGTTCTGGGGATAAAATGAAATCATATCTTCTTGAGTTCCCGGTATAAAGACAGGATATAAATCTAATAAATAAATTCACACATCTTTATGTGGTGTCTGGTTGGATGATCATTCCCAGGCAATGTTGGAATGTGGAGAGTTAAAGAAGAGTTAAAGTTAAGGGGACTTCACCTTCCATCCGTCATCAGGATGACCAATGTCCATCAATATTGTTTTTTCTAGAAATTAGGTTACCCTCTAAAAGAGGCAGAAAATACCATGCCACTTTTACATTTACATTTAAAGAGTCTTCTGAACGAAGGGAGAGGGATTCAGCTATAGCAAGTGACTAAATGTGCATTGTGATGTCATGACACAAAACCCCACCCCTTATATACTTGCATGCAATGTTGCAATATTAGTATGAAAAGGCAGAGTTTATGTCATGAAGTCACAACACATGTTTCATCATTTTGGCATTACTGTGGACAAGAATGCATGTCTAGGATTCTCCCCTTCCCTTCCCTTCCCTTCCCTTCCCTTCCCTTCCCTTCCCTTCCCTCATAACATTCTTGTAAAATAATTTGGCCTGAGAGAGAGTGTCTGGCTTCAGGTTTCTCAGCAAGCCTCCAAGGATGGATGGGGACTTGGATCTGGGTCTCCTTGATCCTGCCCACTTTTCTAACTACTATACACACTGACTGTTTAGTCAACAGACTCTTTCTGAGCAGGACTCTGGTATTGCTTTGGTTCCCCATCCTTACAGCTATCAACTGTAGGCTGAGTTCACACAACAGCCTGAACCCTAAACCCAGCTTAATAAAATGCCGTTGCTGTGAATTCATATTATAATCTCTGCCCAAACTGTAGTGTGATTTAATGTAATGACCTGGTTTACCGAATCTGCTAAGACAAAGGCTGGTTTCACCCAATGTGTTGAACCTCAAACCACCCAATCTTTTTTTAGCCTAGTCTAGTCTACTGAGCCAAGCCAGCATACAGGAAGCAATTGCTTGCTTGCTGATAAAGAGTAAAGAGGCAGTTCATATTTATTAGGGCAAATTATGATAATCCAAAAATAATGTATGTTATTAGGGAAGGGAAAAATCTAGGAGTTTCTATCTCCCAGATCCCCACCTATCCCTCACCCACCACAATTGGCCTAAATCTATTTCCATGGTGTATTCCACATTTTTGATCCAACAAAGAAAGTGATTTTGCCTCTCTTGGATTATCTTTAACTCCCTCAAAGGACTTCTTGTAATCTGCTATATCTTTGGTCTTCTAATTTCTCACCATTTGCTGCATTTCTGGACAGGCCTTCTGCGATGATGCCACTGGATTAAAGTTTCACCCTGTGCTCTACCCCAAGGTGAGCTAAGTGATGGTGCAAAAGTCTAATTCCAGAAGCAAATTGATGTGCAGAATTAAACTATGCATTGAACTGCATGCATGCAGATTTATCTCTGCAAAACTGAAATATACCATTTTGAGAGAGTAGGTTTCCCAATTCTAACTATTGTGGAGAGGCACAGAAATGGCAAGGAGAGAGAGTTGCATCAGTTTTCAGCAGATGCCTCAGAATTGTCACCTGGGATTAAAGTTACATTCTCCTTGCACACTTTTCAAGTATGCAATTAGAGTTGGATTGGTTTACCTGCTTGGTCTGACTTATTCTTGAGCTCAACTCAAAAAGAAATGAATTCTGAACCTCAAAGAACTCTGCAGGAAGAGGATGGTTACCATAAAAGCATCCTGAGGAATCTGGTGGGGACTGGAGACAGTTAAAATGTTGATGCATTGTTCTACTCTTTGCAGGGATGTGACAGAGGCCAAGGGCCAAAATCAAATCATTGTTTGAAATGATACAAGCCAGGTTAGCTTTTTTGGAACAACCAGATCAGACACCTAGAGATGTTGAGCGAAGTCATTTTTGACTGCTCAGCTCTGCTGGTGGGATTGATCAGAAGTTTCCAGCCCAGGTATTGCAAAACAGGTGCCTTTGAAATGTCTTCCTGGTATTGTTCTGTTTTGCCTCTTAGCATTAACTCTCTTTTCTGTACTGCATCTGGCACAAGGAGCCTTGGGAAACAAGTTCTCTGAAGTTCCTCAGACCATGTTATAGGAACAGGAGCTCTGGGAATCTGTATTCCAAAAGTTCTTCAGCATTTGAGGTGATCAAGTGAGAGATGGAGCAGAAGCTTCAAAATTCAGGGGGTGGGTTCAGACATTGCTTTGTACCTAATAAAAGAGGGCTTCAATTATTGAAATTCTCACATTTTTATATAGGTCTATTTGCATACTTTTGGAATGAGAGTCATTCTCCAAACAGAGTCTTTCCTAAGTTAAATATAAAGAAATTATTCCAGCGAACAAATATGGGACTTCTATACTTAAAGCATGTTCTCTACCAGTGAAATAAACCGTGACTTTTCCTTTTGTTTGCAACCTGCAAAAAAAGAGAAAAACTTCTCAAACTCATAGAAACAGATTCTTTCTTGGCAAATTATTCTCTGACCCCTCCCCCTCCTGGCTTTCTCCTATTTCAGGCATCTCAGATGATCGTATCCTATGATGAACATGAGCTTAACAACACTTTCAAGTTTGGTGTGATTTACCAGAAGTTTAAGCAAGTGAGTGATTACTGTATTTTATTGGCGCGATAATATTTCTGTTGTTCTAGTGGTGATTTGATAGCTTAGAGCAGTGTTTCTCAATCACAGCAACTTTAAGACGCATGGACTTCAACAATTCTGGGAGTTGAAGTCCACATGTCTTAAAGTTGCTGAGATTGAGAAACACTGGTTTAGAGGAAGACTGCAGTGGAAGATCAGAAAAGGGCTGTTCGAGGTCCTCGCCCCACTTGCATCTAATCACAGAACAGGCCCCACAACTTATTTTTGTGTGCTGTGTCTCCATGATGTTGCCTTCAACTTGTTCCCAACCCATACCTGAGTCAGCTTAAAGTCATCCTTGACTACTCCGGCTTTAAAATAAGTAAGTGGTTTTAATTGGATACAATTTGATATGTGTCAGCAATGTGGTGGAATAATCAGGTGAATGTAAACAGTGGGAAAGCATTGCTTTACTGTAGTGTGACATGCTCTCTCTGCACTGGGCCTTTGGCCCAGTCTTCAAGGGCCATTCTGGTTTTGGCTGTGGAAAAGGCTGAGTCTTTCCAATCATGCTCTCTTCCTGTACCCACCAAATCTCCAACCTGTTCTCCAGCACAGAGACCTGGCTTTGAAATTGGATAATGGTTGATGGAATTTGGGGGAGATGTGTAGAGTAGTAGGAGAAATGCAAGTAAAGGGAGGCAGGTGTTTATAAAGTCTAGACTGGTGGGAAAATGAGGGCAACATTCTCCATCTGCAAACCAGAATAATGGTAATCAGGATTGGCAATGGAGCAGCAGGATCTACACTGGCTTAATTTTCTTCTAGCTAGCTTGGTGGGTTTGGGTTATTATTGGTTAATGGAAGCAGAAAGGGTTTTTTTAAAAAGGAGAAGAAAGCATGGCTACTGCTACCTAGTATGTTCTCCCCACAAAAGCTACTCTCTCAATGCACCCAAATATTTGCAGTTCAAGAATTGTTCAAAGTGCTTTATATATTCTATTTTGTTGTAACTCTTAGATGTTTGGGGAGACAGCCTGCAGACCTACGGAAACCCTTTATTGTGACCCCTGGAACCACCATAAACGGCACTGTTGAATTTTAAAATTGCAGTTCCCCCTAATAACCATGGGTTTCTATCATTTTAAGGAAGAAAATACATATACAATTAAATTAGCCTTAAAAATAAGGCAAAGTCTCCTTTGAGTTAAGCTCAACTCCTGATGGCAACCTGGACAAGTCTATATAGTTTTCTTAATCATAATATGCTAGTGATTTACTCATATGTTCTTTGGGGATTTTTTTTCAACTTCCATCTAACCTATTACCTTTGGATTTCCTTTGATCTCCCATCCAGGTATTAATCAGGTCCAACCCTACTTCTGAGTTCAGTCAAGGTCAGCTAGGTCAACATTATTTTAATGTTAATGGAAATTCCCAAGGTAAATCAGCTAGCATTTCTTCCAGCCTCCTATATTAATACATTGCCTTGATGGGTGCTGGTGACCTTGGCCCAACTTCAGTATTATAAAAAGGTTCAATCTGCAGCTCAGTTCATTTGGATATCTAGAAGCAGAAAGAAAGAGTCCTGAAATAAACAGAATTTCTTGGTCCAGCCCCATCTGTGCTGTGGCAAAAAAGGATAATCATCCTTTTGAACATCTTTTCTTTTCTGTCTCTCTGGGTGGTACCAGTTGGAGTCTAGAGATAGGAGTAAATAGTTAGTGACAATAGTCATACAGAGAGGAAGTTGATTACCTCCTACCATAATAAAAAAGAATAATTTCTTCCAAAATCTAGTCAGCTACTGGGGAGTTTTAAAATGAAGATGGGTTCTGGCATGTTTATTTTGAATTGTTTTATCTTTCCAGACACAGGAAGAAGAATTGTTTGGGAACAATGAAGAAAGTCCTGCCTTCAAGAACTTCTTGAATTTGTTGGGAGAAACCATTACACTTCAGGATTTCAAGGGGTAGGTTAAGCAATCAATCACTTTCATTGTTTTTTTTTTTAGCAGTCTGTTCGATTTAGGCTTGAAATAATCAAACCGTCAGTGAATGAAAAGAATGTCTATGTCGTTTTTCAGCCAGAAAGTCTCCTGAAGTAGCCCACGTATGATCAAGTACAACAAGAGAGATTCTAACTTCAGACTTCCAATCTCAAATGACAGGTCACAGAAGGAAGAAGAAGTAGAGAAGGCAGTTGTAGTTATAATTCAGAAATAACACAGACATGAATTGCTGGCTTTTTAACCGTGACTGTCAGGAATGCAAACAATTCTGTGAAAAAGGGGAGAATTGCTGCTTTTCATCTGAGCTGATGGAGAGCTCTGTTTCCTCACTTTTGCTCAATTAATGTCAGCTGGAAAGGCTATAGGATGATACCTGTGGAAAAGAAAAAAAAAATCAAATAAACTGGCTGGTTACTAACATTCTCAAATATATGCAGCTTCTTGTGGAACTTTCCCCATTTTTCCATTGTTTACATGCCACTTTTCCTAACTTATTGGTATCCAGTTTTTTTTTCCAGACTAGCACATCTTCACATGCAGTTTGTGAGTGGAAAATTGCATTTCAGTTTTATATATTTATTTATGCACTCACTGAGTTCTGATCATGTTGAACCCTCAAGGCAGATTGCATTTTAAAATTAATTCATTCCTGGGAGGAATGCACTGTTTCAGGACAAATTTTATTCCAGTAGAGATGTGAATTGGCATTGCTGTCTTTTGGAAGGTTTGGTCAACCTTCCAGTCTCTCATGCAGCTTGGGAATACTATCACCTACCACAGACCTGACATGTTACATTTTGAAACAGCACCATGCAGGAAAAAAAAATCTCCCACATTTTTTACAATGGTCATTCAGTAGGATAAAAGAGGTGGAGTGGAGTGCCTGGGTAAGTAGTTCCAAGATAATCATAGGGTAAATCTTTGATTGTACAAAGATGCAAAGCTTCCCATATTTTCATTCAATCTCTAGAGGAGAGGTTGTGAGGGCAGCTCTTTGCACAGGGCAAAAGTGGGCACTCCAGAAAGCTTCAGGGATGGAAGGATGCCTCCTTAGAAAAACCACAGGAGCAACTTCTTTATTGTTAAAGACCAGCTGAGAAACATCAGCCTGAGAAATTAGGAAGCAATCCTCATTGCTAACTGTGAGATTAAGGTAGAAAAACAAGCCTTTTTTGTGGAGGAATGAAACACCTGAGAAGCTGCATGACAACTTTGGCCTAGTGTTATTTTGAAATCAGGGAAATAAAGCAGTCTAAAAGACATCTTCCAATGTAAGATTATCAGTCCAGAGTGAGTGTGTGTGTGTCTCCCTCCCTCCCTCCCTCCCTTCCACTGTTACCATCCCTAGTAACAAAGGTCCGCTATCTTGTTCTGATTTCTTTTTAGCTTTCGAGGTGGCCTAGATGTCACTCATGCCCAGACGGGCACAGAATCCGTATACACAGTGTTCAGGGACAGAGAGATTATGTTCCATGTCTCTACCAAGCTTCCCTTCACAGAGGGGGACACCCAGCAGGTAAGCGAGAGCTGACCTTTCTCTTTCGAGATATAATACCAGGACAGCACAATGGATGATTTGATGAAGTGGACTTTGTGTAACTGGCAGTGGAAGGAAAGGTGTGAATTGCTTTCGGTTGGTGTGCCATGCCTTGTGATTGAACAACCTCTGAAGGGAGGTTGCACAGACCGATGGATGAAGCCCCTGTTTGTTTTTGCTTCTGTTTTTATTTTTTACAGACCAAATTTCCTTTCACGGCAGCTTACCATTTTGCTTTTTATATTTTGCACTCAGAATAGTACAGATTCTCATTTTTTGAAACTTCAGGTTCATTATGTTCCCTTTCTGCATCATTTTTTAAAAAGGCTTTATGCAAATTTATGGGATTTTCCATACATATTCCTCCTGATAATGGAGCTTTTTCAACATGTCCATCAATGCATGCTTTGTAAACAGTTTTCCCCAGCCTAATGCAAGGACTGGTGTCCCTCCCAGATAGAATTATAAACATAAATATTTATATGCATACACACATACGCACACATATTTGTGCAGTACACTTGGGGTGCTGAGGGCTATTTCTGCCCTTGAATAGCTTGCTGGAGCTGCTCTTCCTAAAATAGGGCAGAGCCGTGAGAAAAAATTAAAAATTGCTTTTCATTTTATTTACATTCAATTAATATCAAATCTAGTTAATATGATGACTTTGCAGTCATGCATTTAAGAATTTCCCTCTGTCCCCTGAAATTGCCGTTTTTGGAAAGATCTTCTTTGGCCACACCCAAATCTTTTGGGAAGTGCCTTTAGCTTGTGTACCTCTGGGTATACGTTTGGAAAGTGAAAATCAGATAAGTTTGCATTAAACCATTACCTGAACAAATTTTCCATTCATCTTTTCTTGACCATTGAACCAAATCCCACACCCAGCTGCTTATGGGAGCAATATGACACCCAGGGAGATATGTTGTACAGGAATACTTCCAAAAATCTTCTTGGAGCAGGGATGTCCACAGGGAATGGTCAAAAAAGTCAAGATGGCAGTTGTGGCAGTGTAATAGAAGCTCCAACTGTTTTTCAGGTGTGTTGCAGCGCACATAAAAGGCAGGTGGAGCTTTGATCACACCATTGCTGCTGACATCTTGAGGTTTTGACCCTACTTTGCAGACACCCCATCTTTGAATTCTACCCAAAGTGGCATGGTTGCAAAATCTTCATCCATGATTTATTGATTCCTTGATATCACTCTTGGTGGAGTGCCCTATGTAGGTGCCACACCATTTCTATGGATGATTCTCCAAAAGACGTTCCACCATCAGTGGTGGCAGCATCTTCAAACAAGAGAACATAATGAATGCCCCTTGAGAGAAGATGGTCAGGGCAAGACACGCCATCCTTAAGATAGGAGAAAATGCTTCCCTCTTTTGTCTCCACAAATCAAGGAAGGATAATCTTTCTGAGGATGTGGGTGAAACCTTATGAAAAAGGGCTCCCCAATAATAAGGAGACCCCAGCTGACTCTATTGGCAAGCTTTCAATAAGACTTTAAAATCTCAGCTGGTACTTTTGTGCCTGATCTTCTGCCGGACTGAATCCTAATTGGGGAGCGTCAGAAACTCTCAAATTTTGCTAACAGGGGCAACACTTACAGATATTTTTGGCAAATGGCCTCTAAAGGATGCTGAGGCATTGTGGGGGTAAGGAACATCCCTGGAGGGATGTGATTGCACAACTTTTAGTCCTTTTTGATTTTTCATGAGAAAAGGGGGTATAGAGCTTCCAAGTAAATAAATAGTGTTAAGATTCTTGGAAGCTTCAAGCTGTGGATTGCTTCTTATTCCTTTCATAATAACAACGACAACCCAGATCCCTTGCCAATAAGTTTGGCAATGTGAGCTGAAGGTTTGGAGCTGACAAAAATGGGTGGGGTGGGAACTACAGCTGTCACGTGTTCCTCATCCTTGAATGAAAATTGAACAGCCTTCTGATAGCATGACGGTGTGCACACAATAGTCTTGGTTACAGGGCCAATTCATTTTCTGGGTTCATTTGATACCCTGAGCCCCAAACTCCCCAAATGTGTGGATCTGCAGAGTTGCTACAGCATGGAAAGAATGACCAAGTTTAAGCTTTGCATGTTGCACACATGCAATTGCTTGGTCTTTCCCAAACCTGGTTAAGGGTATTGTGAGAAAGCAACCCTCCCCTTTTCTCTGTATATGTGTGTGTTGGTGTGTGTCGAGGCCAGGTGTGCTTCATCTTGCTGCTTTAAAGATGCGATTAGAGATGCAGTTAGAGTTAGAAAAACTCTGCAGTGATACGTCAAATTTGGCATGTTTTTACATTTAAGAACCATCAACTGGAGATTGGTATGTCTTCTTCTTTTCACCTTTTCAGCTTCAACGGAAAAGACATATTGGCAATGACATTGTGGCTATAATATTCCAAGAAGAAAACACTCCTTTTGTTCCAGATATGATTGCTTCAAATTTTCTGCACGCCTATATTGTCGTCCAGGCAGAAAATCCAGAAACGGATAATGCATCCTATAAAGTAAGTGGGTGGGAAAAGTAGAAGAGTGTGTGTCTGCATCCATGCTTATAGGTGTCCGTGTCCCTGGTGTGTGTGTGTGTGTCAACATCTGTTTTCAATCTGACAAATAAGCCCTTTGGTGGCTTTGAAAAATGTACCTGTTTGACCAGAGATAAAGAGTTCCTGCTAAGCCTTTGTGAAAATTGTTATTTATTCTTGGAGAAGCAGCTGGTGCCCTCGGCACTGTTGTTAGCCTATCTGCACATTGGCAGCAAATGTCATTAAATGTTCAGATGCGTGTAGCATACATCTGTCCTTGAAGCCTTAACAGAATCAGCTTGACTGAAGGTTACAGAACAGGTGGCCAGCAGCTTTTCACAGGCGGTACGCCCAGGTTGGCATTGGGAGCTGATGGGGGATCTGTTGGTTTGCAGTCTTCTATCTGTTCCCCCACATTGGAAGAGAAGACAAGACCTGCTGCATCTGACCCAGGGCCCTCCTAACCCAGTATTTTGTTGGACCCAGTCCCTAGCCAGGTGCCCTGAAGAAGCTCAGAAGTACATCAGGAGAGCAAGGGTTCTTCTGCTGTTTCCCCCAAAGAACTGGCCTCTCAAGGTTCATGCCTTTGGGTCCAGGGGAGCAAGCAGCCATGAAGTCCCTTTTCTGGTGGGCTTTGATTTTTTTCAGGTCTCTGGGTCTTATCCAGTGACTCTTGCCTTCACATGAAGTATCCAATTCTCAAGTCTAGTAGCCATAGCGCCAATCTTCCATGAATAATGTCCAGTCCTCTTTTAAAATCGTCTAAGTGGGTGGGCCTCTCCACATCAGATGGCAGTAAATTCCACAGTTCAACTCTGCATGGGCCTCCTGTTTGTTTGTCTCTAATTTGTCGCCTGACTCCATAAAGACATATTGGTGATGGATCTCCTTGCAAAAGTTTTAGCAGGTAATCCCAAGTTATAATATTGCAAAAGAAGGAGAAAAATCTCTTTCTCCATATTTTCCACTGGCGTATGATGTGCTATATCTCTGCTGTACCTCCTCTTACTTGCTTTAATGCAAATCTAGAAAGCTTCCAACACTGTCGCCTTTCCTAGTAGATTTTGGTTCCTCATCTTTCAGAGGAGTCCACAGGATGTGGTCAAAAAATTCAGGACGGTGACCACAATGGTGTATTCCAGGGTTTCCCAAACTGTGAGGTTTACCTCCCTTGAGGAGATGCAGGCAAAGTCCAGGGGAGGTGTGAAGAACCTTTCAGTAGCATCGTTACAATAGATCCACCTTTCCCAAAGTTTCGTTGTATAGTTTTCGTTGTTCATTTGTGTTCAGTTTGGTGTTTGGATTTTTAGGGGAGGTGTGTATATTAAGATTACACTAAAGGGAGGTGGGATGGCAAAAAGTTTAGGAACCCCTGGTGTAATTGAAGCTCAGTCTGTTTTTTATGTGACTTCTTTGACCACACCCTGTAGATGCTCCTGTCATCTTTGCATTCTGGCCTCCTCACTATATCTGTTTTGAGATGTGGCCACCAGAATTATGTATGGTATTCCAAGTGCAAGAGGCAGTTTGATGTAGTGGTTAAATGCCCAGGCTAGAAACTGGGAGACTGGGAGTTGTAGTCCTGCCTTAGGCATGAAGCCAGTTGGATGACTTTGGGTCAATCACTCTCTTTCAGCCCAACCATTGCTGAAAAATGTTGCCAGGAAAACTGCAGGGGCTAGTCCATGTAGTCACAAGGAGTCAAGAATGACCTGAAGGCAAAATAAAAATCCAAGTGCATTCTATGTTTTCAATTCCCTTCTTACTGATGCCAAACATGGGATCTGCCTTTTTTCAAGCAGCCACCATTGGTTAAACAATGTCATTGAACTGTCCACCATGATTACAAAATTCCTTCCTGATCAGTCACTGCCATCCCAGACCCATTCATGTATATCAGGGTTCCTCAACCTTGGCGACTTGAAGATGTGTGGACTTCAACTCCCAGAATTC